CTGACTGTTTCCCTCCTCTAAACGTCTGTTCTTCTCTGCCTGGTTGTAGACAGTAATCATGGATTTAGGTCCGATCATGAAGGGTTGAGAAGAGATCATTATCTGGTCTATCACCTTACACACCAGTCAACTCAGCTACACTACAAAACTACTTCCTCACAGTCTTTTCACAATAGAAGCACGTTAAAGTCTCCGTGCAGTAACGTCTCCATTATAACGTAACGTTAAATCTAACCGTGCACGACCATATAAGCAGCTGAAACACACCACCTGCTGCCAGTTGTTCCAACAATAATGTTATGTTATAATGTAATGTTTGTTTGTCTGGATGTAGAATGAGCCCCTGAGCTGTGCTCTGTCTGATTCTTCTGACCTACAGGTAAATGAAACACCTGGGGCCTGGTGCAGGTGATGTTTCTCTGCTCCACTGTTGGAACAAGTAGAACCAGCATCTATCTGTTTCACAACAACTGTGCCACAAATGATACCATCCATATTTATTGATTCAGGATGTTCATGTCGGCCCCACCAGTGTTTGTGCTCCCAGGTCAAACAGGTCTCAGGAGACCAAAGGCCTTCCTTCAGTCAGCTGGTCTGAGTGGACCTGATGGAGACCTCTGTCTCTGCAGGGTTTCGCCTTCGTGGAGTATGAAGTCCCAGAAGCAGCTCAGCTGGCCCTGGAACAGATGAACTCTGTGGTCCTCGGGGGGAGGAACATCAAGGTGAGGGTGGGCTCCAGGTCAAACTCACACTGACCTGTTGAAGCCAGCGCAGACCGCTGCTCAGGTCCTTCCTCAGGTGATTATTTTTCCCTGCGCCTTGTCTGACAGGTGGGCAGGCCCAGTAACATCGGCCAGGCTCAGCCAATCATTGACCAGCTGGCGGAGGAAGCGCGGGCCTTTAACCGGATCTACGTGGCCTCGGTGCACCCGGACCTCTCTGATGAGGACATTAAGAGTGTGTTTGAGGCCTTCGGACGGATCAAGTCCTGCATGTTGTCCCGCGAGCCCACCACGGGTCGCCACAAAGGTTATGGCTTCATAGGTGAGCTCAGCCGGTGTGTTCTGACCTGTCCCCAGGTGGTCCTGTCCTCAGGTGGTCCTGTCTTCAGGTCCTCAGGTGGACCTGTCCCCAGGTGGTCCTGTCCTCAGGTGGTCCTGTCTTCAGGTCCTCAGGTGGACCTGTCCTCAGATGGACCTGTCCTCAGGTGGTCCTGTCTTCAGGTGGTCCTGTCTTCAGGAGGAGGACCTGTCCTCAGGTGGACCTGTCCCCAGGTGGACCTGTCTTCAGGAGGACCTGTCCTCAGGTGGACCTGTCCTCAGGTGGACCTGTCCCCAGGTGGACCTGTTCCCAGGTGGACCTGTCTTCAGGAGGACCTGTCCTCAGGTGGACCTGTCCTCAGGTGGACCTGTCCCCAGGTGGACCTGTCCCCAGGTGGACCTGTCCTCAGGTGGACCTGTCCTCAGGTGGACCTGTCCTCAGGTGGACCTGTCCTNTAGTGAACACAGAGTGGGGATAGTGAACACAGAGTGGGGATAGTGAACACACAGTTGGTATAGTGAACACAGAGCGGGTATGGTGAACACTAAGTGGGTATGGTGAACACAGAGTGGGTATGGTGAACACAGAGTGGGTATAGTGAACACAGAGTGGGTATAGTGAACACAGAGTTGGTGTGGTGAACACAACATGAACACAGAGTGGATATAGTGAACACAGAGTGGGTATAGTGAACACAGAGTGGATATGGTGAACACAGAGAGGGTATGGTGAACACAGATTGGGTATGGTGAACACAGAGTGGGTATGGTGAACACAGAGTGGATATGGTGAACACAGAGTGGGTATATTGAACACAGAGTGGGTATGGTGAACACAGAGTGGGTATGGTGAACACAGAGTGGGTATAGTGAACACAGAGTGGGTATAGTGAACACAGAGTGGGTATAGTGAACACAGAGTCGGTATAGTTAACACATAGTGAACACAGAGTGGGTATAGTGACCACATATTGAACACAGTGGGTACAGTGAACACAGAGTGGGTATAGTGACCACATATTGAACACAGTGGGTATGGTGAACACAGAGTGGGTATAGTGAACACAGAGTGGGTATAGTGAACAGAGTTGAGCTCAGTACTGAGAGTAAATAAAAAGTACTGTTAAGAGTTGTGAAAGTATTTTCTGTGTACAGGCGAAGAAGTACGCCATGGAGCAGAGCATTAAGAGTGTGTTGGTGAAACAGACTCTGGTGCAGCAGCAGCCATTTGCCAGCCTACAGGTAACATCCTGAGCCTGTGTCTGTTCACAGACCTTACTGATCTTTACATGAATGTTGTGTTTGTGTCTCAGATGGCGCCTCTGACCATGGGTTTAGGAGACGCTCTGTCCCCTCTGCAGTCAGTGAGTATCTCCCTCCTCTCTGTGAGTGACAGCTGGTGAACAGGACTGATCTGTCAGTCATGTTTGTTAGACTTCATGCTAGGACCTTGGAGGTTCACCTGGTTCAGGTCTGAGAAGAACTGGAATAAAAAAAGTTTTGTTTTGCACTCTGCTCAGATGTTGAACAGACTGTTCTCAGGGATGATACAACTCCAGCACTGTGCCAGAATCCAGGCCTACCTCCAGGACAAACCTGGCCAGAGATTTGACAGACAGTTCTCTGGACCTATCAGAGAAGCAGCTTCCACATTAAACACTTTAGACAGACCTACTGGGCAATCAGGTGGGGGTGGGACTGGGAGATTATTCAAACTTCAGAAAGGATCAAGTATTTTTAGTTAGATAAAAGTTCTTAAAGTGTCCATGTTCAAGCAAACCTTCATAAAGTAGCTGCTGGGTAGGGTGAGGGTTAGTTAGGTTTGGGTTAGATTTGGGTTAGGTTTGGGTTTGGGTTAGGTTTGGGTTAGGTTAGGGTTAGTTTGGGTTAGGTTAGGTTTGGGTTAGGTTTGGGTTAGGTTAGGGTTAGGTTTGGGTTTGGGTTAGGTTAGGGTTAGTTTGGGTTAGGTTAGGTTAGGTTTGGGTTAGTTTGGGTTAGGTTAGGTTAGGTTTGGGTTAGGTTAGGTTAGGTTTGGGTTTGGGTTAGGTTAGGGTTAGGTTTGGGTTTGGGTTAGGTTAGGGTTAGTTTGGGTTAGGTTAGGGTTAGTTTGGGTTAGGTTAGGTTAGGGTTAGTTTGGGTTAGGTTAGGGTTAGTTTGGGTTAGGTTAGGTTAGGGTTAGTTTGGGTTAGGTTAGGGTTAGTTTGGGTTAGGTTAGGTTTGGGTTAGTTTGGGTTAGGTTAGGGTTAGTTTGGGTTAGGTTAGGTTAGNCCCTCCTCTGTCTGACTGTTTCCCTCCTCTGTATGACTGTTTCCCTCCTGTGTCTGACTGTTCCCCTCCTCTGTCTGACTGTTTCCCTCCTGTGTCTGACTGTTTCCCTCCTGTGTCTGACTGTTTCCCTCCTGTGTCTGACTGTTTCCCTCCTGTGTCTGACTGTTTCCCTCCTCTGTATGAC